CCTTCCCATGTCGGGCACCGCTCCCATGGCAAAACATCATTTTGGTGATGTAGAAAGACAACGTGCACTTTGACAATGAAAGTCTAGTTAAAAACAAACAAGGTGCTGGGCCCCTAACGGGCACAAACCTGGTGCTCAGGGGACGCCATGGACTCCCTTTACCGATCTGTTCTCATTAACGGGCCGTGGGCCTCAGAATGCAAACAGCACTTTTACACCCGCCACCCTGTTTGGCTAGCACAGCCCTGGCCTTCTCTCGGGCTGGCAAAGACTCCTACCTGTTTTCCATAAGGAATCTTTGTAGCAGTCCCAGCGGGAAAGTCCAAAGTTTGACTTGAAAAGAGGAGCTACTTCAAAAGCATTGTCAGGCGAGGTGAGAGCTCCTTGGGATGCATACATTATGGGGCCTCCATTCGCCAGCCTCCAGCCCACCTTCCAGCGGGGCCTCTGGCTGGGGGACACCAGGGACACCAGGGACACAAGGCCATGCTGCCGGGGGAGGTGGGGCGGGGAAAACCCATGGCCAACAAAAAGTAAATTAATGTGTTTACGACTTGCTGCTTGGACTGGTGTGCGCGCGCACACGTGTGTGTGTGTGTGTGCAGAAAAATGAAAGAAAAATGTAGAGGGTTTTTTTTTCAATAATAAAAAGGGAGTTGCTCTGCAGGGCCCCTACAGCTTGTGAAAAATTAAACTCGACGGATTCAAACTGTCCTATTTCCACTTCAAAAGGGAAGAGGCGCTGAGCTCTTCCCAACTTATCTTCAAACGCCCAGCACCCTAGAAACTTTCTGTAAAAAAATAAAGGCTCCAGCTCCCCCAAGCACTGCGCCGGTTACGGTGCCCACTATCTCTCCCTCCACTAATTATACCCCTGTGAGTCTATTAATCAACTGCTAAATTATTTAGCGAGGCATGCGCTGTCTTCAGCTCCTCCAAACACAGCACACTCGCAGTCTTGCAGGGAGCGGGCCGGGGCCCCCAGGGTCTCCCCTCCGCCAGAAGACAGCTCGCAGCCCACGAGGATGCATGCTCCAAACAAGAAACAGCATCCGCTTACCTCCTCAGACGGGAGATTTACTTTGTCTTTCAACTTGGCAACTCTTTGCAAGTTTTTAACAAAAGAGAAAAGCTGATCTATTGTCAGATCTTTAGTGTGCATTTAGTGATGAGAATATTAATTCACCCTAAAAAATGAAGCACTGATCCCGAATGCCACCTGGGACCCGGGCTCAAGGAAGGCTCTGGAAATCACTCCTAATCATCACAATTTGGGGCTGGCGGGGTGTGCTGGGGTGCGTGCCAGTCAGAGTCCTGTGCACCCTCAGATCTCAGTCCTAGGAGGTGGTGAGGGGCCCTCCTCAGTCAGGAGCAGGCCCCCGCAGCACGAGAGGAGAACAATTACCAGGGCCAGGTAGACGCCGATGCCCTCGCACCGAGGAAAGGATGGGGGATCTCTAATTAGACCCTAATCTGGAAATAGGTTATATCTACCATTGGCAGCTGCTGGACCCCAGTTTATGGCTGAAATTCCCTGGAGGCAGGCTAAAAATAAACCAGCACAGCCTTCCCGGGGATGGGCGAGCTGGGGCAGCAGGGTGAGCCTGTGGGGGGCTGGTTTTGGATTAAGTGAGAAGGGGGAAGCAGGACATTCCAATGGGCAGACACCATGTCTGCTGTCCCAGAAAGCCTTTCGGTAGGCGGGAAGCCGTGGGGAAGGGGCAGGACGCACATGTGTTGATGGTAACCACTTCGAGCCCACATGGATTTGAGCAAAGAATTGAGACCTGGTAGCTGCTTTGGTGGATTCTAGAGAGGAAAAGACACCTGACACACTGCCAGGGTACATGGCAGGATGGACACCATCCAGGCCAACAACCGCACTTTGAGCGATACGGAAAGGCTGAACACTTGCTTTTCCAAAGCCCAGTTTCTTACCCAGGTAACAGTGACAGCTTCTCGACGATGAAGGCTGCGCGATTGAAGCTCGACCCTGCTCGCCCATGCAGGCCGAGCCCGTATTGCTCTCTCAGCAGCGGCTGCACAAACACCGCCGCGCGCCACTCTGGGGAATAAATTTGTTCTGTGCACTGCAGCTGGAGTCGGAGTGGGATTTGGAGGTCAGACTTACATATTTCAAAGTCCAGGGCACAGAATAAGCATCGCCCCGCCCCGCCCCTCTGTCCACGGCGCCATCCCCAAGAGTCTGGGATCAAGGGATTGAAGAGGAGCTCAGATGGGGCTTTGGAGGCCTTGGCCCAGAAAACATGGAAAGATGGGGAAACAGCCCGGCCATGAACTCTGCTGCTGATGCGAAAGGCAGAGGTGTTAGCAGCACCTACGGGGACTGAAAAGGAACATCACCAAGTCTGCAGAGGTCGAGGCTGGGACACAACATCCTGAGGCCGGGGTGGGGGAATAGGGTCCGCGGCTCTGTCCGGGGAAGATGAGATCTAGATCTACCAGGCCAAGTGGCGACGGTGGCAGCAAGCGCGTCGAGGACGGCAGAAGGGCGCCACCTGCCACTACGGTGAGTCTCTGGAGCAACTCCCCAAGGTGAGTGCAGGGGCCAGGAGCCTGTGACTCCAGGGGTTGCCAGGTGACAGGAGGACAGCAGAGTCCCCATGGTGGGGGCCAAGTGTCCAGAGGGTGGCGGGAGTGTCCCCAGGAAGAGCACTGCTGAGGATGGGGTGCTGAGGATGGGGTCCCACACCGGGTGGCCAGATGGTAGGATGCAGTGCTGTATGGACCCCGGACTCCGACCCATGGTAACGGGGTCTCTCTGCCCTTACCACACCCACTGCCCTGGGAGTGGATCTCCCTGTGCCTCGCGGGCGTTCAACGCCACGTGTGAAAAGTCCTAACAAGAAGCAGGGGCTGGTGAATGCTGCCAGCACCTGGGGCAGCAGATCAGAAATGCACCTGGGATTCTGAAGAGGGGAAACTGAGGTGCCTCAGTGGCCCCAAAAGCAACGGAGGAGCAACCACCGTCTCCCTCTTCTGGAAGACCAGAGAGTGTTAGGGCATGTACCAGCCTGTCCTGCACATTTCAGGAGGGACCTTCTGCCCCAGGGCAGGGCTGGGAAGACTCCCTTCCAGTGCTGCCTCCACTCAGCAAGAGCTCTTCCTCACCTTCAGGATGTGGCCATTTATCAGGTCCCTTTTGCCAGGCCTGTCCTTGGAGGGCCCAACCGTGACCTCGGATCCCAGCCAACTGTACATCTCCTACTCAGGGGTGGCTAATCATCACCCCCAGGCCCTAGCAGGGGTACCCCCGGGGGCTAGGGGACCCCTGAGTCACAGACGCCACAGACACACTAGGTGGGAAGCCCCGTGGCCTCACGCACAGTAGTTACTCGGCAGAGGCAGGGCTGTGGTTGGCTGGGCAGGTCCCCTCCAAAGCGAACGCTGCCAGCCGAGTGCTTTGGTTTCCCAGCAGCTTCTCCACAGCCCACTAATGAGACCCTGTTAGCGCTTATGAATGTAAATGCATTCTTTGTCATCCCTGTGAGATCAGGATTAGCGAGGTGACAAAATTTATTGCTTCTGTTAGGAAGATATGATATTGGTTGTTGTTGTGTCTTTAATTTTGTAGGAAGAGCAAAAGTACTGAGCTACATAGTCTAAATAAACACAAAGCAGTGGAAGCAAAAAAATAGCATGAAACATTGAAGATCAAAGCTGTCCGGATCTCTCTAACTTTAGAGGAAAGTGGGGAACGTGCACTTAAGTCTCCTTTGTAATCACCAATAAACAAAAAATCAACAAACCTCTGCAGCTGGACCACCACTGAGAGCACGCATGGGCTTGCTCGGGTGATGGGTGGCTGGGCCGAGGGTGTACACGGCTAGCCTGCTTGGGTTCACGGAAATTCCTTTCTGCCCCTGCAGAGGAAGAACTAACCATTGTTCCTCTGACCCCCCCAGAAATAGATGGAATGCATAAGAGTTCAAGGGTTCTTGTACACCCTTCCCTAAGACTTGCGGATGGTTAACACTGACTCTCTGGCTTGGGCCTTCTCTTTGTCTTTGTTTTGCCAGGTGCATCAAGAAGGGCATGGTTGGTTCCACGGGGCCACTTGGCTGGTGGGGACAGCACCCCAGAGTGCACTGGTTCCCACACTGCCAGGAGCTTCCTGCCTGCACCCGGCCCACTCAGACTCCCCCTCATTCGAGCTTCATCCTGGGGACCAGGATGTCTCATGCAGGCTCAGGAGAGCCATGCCAGGATGCTTCCCCAGCAAGCCCTTCCACTGACAATTAGGAGCGAGGGCGACTCCTCATTAACCAGCTCCGTCCAGACAGCGGCGGGGGAGAAGGCAGCGAGCAGCCTGCTGGGCTGATGTCCCAACCGGCACCTGTGTTGCCCAGGGGAATGGCAGCTTCGTGGGGCATCATTTTCTCCACGGTAATCACAGCTTCACGTCAGACGTGATGACTGAGTTGCATGTGCGTGTGGAGGCACCACAGCACTGTGTGCGAGAGGCAGATGTGGCTGGGTGGAGGAGGCGTCCTGGGGCAAGTGTCACAGGGCCTTGCAGAGCCCAGGCTGTGTGCCTGGGCAGCTGGGTGGCCCCTCGGTGGCCCCTGAGGCCTCACGAGCCCAGATGCCCTTCCTGAGGCCCACACCTGAGGGTTCTCTTAGGCTGTGGGTGCTGGAAAGGATCCTGATGTGTTCCTGATGGTCCTGATCCCGTCAAGCCCCTGAGGACCGTCAGCTGGCCCAGGCTCCCTGCGCAACGCCTCCCTCATCCAGACCTCAGCTGCTGACCGCCCTATACTGCACAGTAAAGGAGGCGGAAGCTCGGTGGCCCTGGCTCTCCAGGCTGAGGGACACCAGCTAGGAGCAGAAAACCTTCTTGGGAAGCAGGGACCTTCCAGACCCCCAGTAGCACCCACCAGGTCCCAGGCTCTCTGGCCTGGGCTCAGCCTGGATGCCCAGCGGCCGCCCTGACCTCAAGCCCCGGATGTTCAGAGCCCTCCTGCAGGGCCATGGCCTACCTGTCATCTCCTTGTCAAAGAAGGACTGGATGAGCTCGCTCAGCTTCGACTGGTCTTCCACGGCCTCCCTCAGCAGCTGCCCGCAGCAGACTGAAGGAGAGGAGCAGAGAGACATCGTGAGGTGTTAAATAGGAAGAAGGAGGAAGGAAGGAAGAAACCCCAGTGCAGAGCTGACTGTTGGGGGAAAAGGAGTTGCTGGAAAATACAGGAAAGGTTTTTCTGCATGCGGGAATGTGCCCGAGTGAAAGTGAACATCAGAAAGGGGCTGGGCCGTGAAACACAAGAGGAAGATGCGGAACAAAAAGGAATGCATTTGGCCAAACATACTAAAGATGGACGGTGCAGGAATACACTAATGAGTACGTCGCCAGCAGGGAGGCTCCTGCCGGGCCTCGGCAGCACCTGGGATCGGCAAACAGAACTGATGCTCGCTGAGGATTCATGTGCAGGTGGAGGGCTGCTGGGCCCGGAAAATGTCACTGGAGGATGGGGACCATGGCAATGCCACAGTCTTTCCAGTGGGCAAGGCAGTCCAGGGTCAGTGGGTCCACAGACGAGGACCGAGCTGAGCATGGTGGCATGCCCCTGTCATCCCAGCACTCAGGAGGCTGAGGCAGGAGGATCTCTGAGAGTTCAAGGCCAGTTGAGCTACATAGTGAGACCCTGTCTCAAACAAACAAACAAACAAACAAACACTCACAGAAGAGGACCAGCCCACATACTAGGTGGACTTATTCATAATTAAAAGGCAGCAGCTGGAGTTTCCTGGCCCAGTGCCACTGTCCCCTTTGGATGTGTGCCCATGGCAGCAGTGGACTTTCCATCCTGCCCTACTGACTCCAGCCCTGGGCCAAGGCCAGCACGTGGGAGTGGATGGCCAACAGGAGCTGAATGAATAAGCACAGGCTCCCTTCTCCTTGGCTTGGGAAGCCCTTACTGTGGCTCAGATCTAAAATGTCCCCTGTAAGTTTCATGTGCTCGGTGCTGGGGCTATGGCAGGTGACTGGATCATGGGGTTGCTGTGTCCACAACTGAAGGTGCTGTGAGGAGGTGGGGCCTGCTTGGAGGGGGTCACTGGGGTGACCTGGAAGGGTATATTCTTGTTCCCAGCCCCTCCATTCTCTCCTGGCCACCACAGGTTGAGCAGCTTCTTCCACCAGGCCCCTCCATCACGCTGTTTTTGCCTTCAAGCCAGCTGACCATGGACTGAATCCTCTGAAAGCCATGAGCCAGTAAATCTCTCCTCCTTTAGCTTGTGGGTATTGAGTATTTTGTCCCAATGAGATAGGAAAGTGACAAATACAGCCCTTAATAGCCAAAGCCAGAAGACTTAAGCACTTTTTTTATCTGAGTTGTTAACTGCACAATCATGGTTTTTTTAACCTTCAGTGTTAAGGAGTTTGTAAATGTGTTTAAAACGTTAAAGGAAAAGATAGTCAAAATGAATGCACAGATGGGGAACCTCAGCAGAGGGAAACTAAAAGTAGAACCAGAGAGAGACTCCGGAACTGGAAGATACAGTATCTTAAATGAAAACAAAGTTATGGGATGAGCTGTAATCAGCAAATCTAAAGGCAGGAAAACAAGCAGTAAAAGATTCCAAGGGCAGGGGATTTAGCTCAGTGGTTTTGCCGCCTGCTGCACAAGCGCAAGGACCGGAGTTCGATCCCCGGTACCAAAAAAAAAAAAAGATTCCAAAATTCAACAAAGAGGAAGTGAAAGGGCTGGAGAAAAGAGCAGGAGCTTGGTGACTTGCATCTAAGGCATATGTCACTGGAGCGCCAGAAAACAGAGGAGGGGACATAAAAATATCTGAGAAGACAGTGGCAGAAGTCCAAATCAGAGGACAAACATCGGACCACACATCCAAGAGTCTCTGAGACAAACACAAAGTCAGCCACACCCTCCTGCACTGTAGCCAGATTGCTAAAAGCTACAGAAAAGAGAAAATACAGAAGCTAGAGGGGAGAGAGAGATGCTTCGCATACAGGACAGCAATGACAAAAAACAATCTCAGACTTCTCATCAGGAGAAATGCAAGGCAGAAGAACAGAATGACATCTTTAAAGTGGTAAGAGAGAAAAAAAAACTGTCAACATAGATTTCTTTCTTTTGTTTGTTTGGTTTTTTTTTTTTGAGACAGGGTCTCACTATGTAGCCCAGGCTAGCCTCGAACTCCTGGCGATCCTCCTGCCTCAGCCTCCCAAGTGCTGGGATGACCGGCATGTGCCACCATGCCCAGCTCTATATTGAAGGTTCTTACACATGACGGGGTATAACATTAATTCAAGAAGGACTCTGAGAAGCAAAGGATGCATATGTCATCTCTAGAGCAATCACTAACAAACTAAGGCAAAGAGATATACTAAACATGGCAAGAGAGGAGATAAAATGAAGTACTAAATTCTAGTTGGTGGCAGGAAGATCACTGTGAGTTTGAGGCCAACCTGAACTACATATAGCAAAACCCTGTCTCAAAAAAAAAAAACCCAAAAGATAAAAATAAATAAACACTAGCTGGTCATCCCAAAAGATGGCAGGAAAAGAGAAACAGAACAGGTGGGATAAACAGAAAAAAACCCACCAAGCTGGTAGACTTGCTAGCTACCATTGAAAAATCACTTTCGATGGACAAGCACTAATACTTCAAATAAACGCAAAGAACGTCAAGCTAGATTTTTAAAAATAGCAAACTCCGATGTGCACTCTCTACAAGACCCATGTTTATAATATTAAGATATGGACAGTTTAAAAGAAAAAGATTAGAAGATATACCATATGGACACGGATTACAAGAAAGTTAGAGAGAGGGCCATGTGATTACCAAAGTGGATTTTAAGAAAATGGACATTATTAGAGAGGTGGAGGAACACTTCCTAGCAGTAAAACAATCATTTCACCAGGAAGAAATAAACAAATACGAGAGGCCCAAACTGGCAGGAAATGGTCAAATCCACATTATAGAATTGGAGATTTTATTGTATTGGGAGTTGCAAGTAGAGAGATAACCATTAAAGACTTGGAAGACTTGAGTGCCACAAACATTCTAATTGACATTTGTACACCTATAATCCCAGCACTTGGGAGGCTGAGGCAGGAGGACTGCCAGGAGTTTGAGGCCAGCCTGGGCTAGACAGTGAGACCCTGTCTCAAAAAAACCCTCAAATAATAATAATTATTGTATTTGTGGTCAGGATGTTCACGTAAGGCTACTGCATTCTTGCTGTGGGGTCAGTGAGGCATTCTAGGAAGCAGTGGGCCCACATGAGGGACGACGGGCTCGGACACAGCTGGCCCTGGGACTGGGCTGGAATCAGCCTTGCTGTCACAGACTCCTGGCTCTGCCCGGCCTGCAGGACTTACTATGGCCTGGAGTTCCTTTTCTATTTTTTCTACATTTGGCACTATCTGTGTACCCAACAAGTATGTTGTGTACAGCAGGCACTCGATGAAAAATATTACTGATACTCGCTTAGACTTCTGTTCTCATTATAAAATGAAATCAGTCAGAATCATGATACACTCTCAAGATCACCCTTCGGGTGTGTACATCTCTTCGTATTTTCATGAGCCTACATGAAGGTTCCTTTAAAGCAAATGAAATCACTCCCTCAGCACGGCTGAGTGACGGACCTGCTTTCTGGCCCCTCCCTCACTTAGTGATATAATTGGAGGTCAAGTGGCTTTCTGGGTTCTCTGCCAAGAGTTTGAGGTTGCTTCTAGCTCTTCCCATGCACCCTTTGCACACCATGCTTAGTGAGTATTTCAGGAGAATCAAATCCTGGAGTGAAATCACTGAGTCAGAGGATTTGTCTCGATAGTAACTGAACAGTGTGAGTTTTTCCTTTCAAAGAGCTGAGCCCTTTCGATACCCAGCGGCTAAAACCCGGTCTCTGATGAAGCTCATGGGAGCCAGTGCTCGTTAGCAGGGGTGTCCCCTGTCTTAGAGCCTCTGGAATGTGGGGCTCAGGGCTGAGCCGGGGCACGGCGCCCGGCTGCCCACTCTGACCTGAGGTGCCCGAAGTTGGCTTGCTGAAATCTCGTCCTGCCTGGCATTCATTTACCACCAGCCAGCACCTCTGAGGAATGTGCACTTTCTGAGTTTGTCTCTAAATGCCCAATTATCTAAAAGAGTCCCACGGCGGCTCTTTAACTACAAAGCAAAAGCCATTGTGAGCTCTCCTATTTTCATTTTTGGGACAATCTAGGCAGGTAATTTCATCTCCTCATGACTGCCATGCTAAAAGCAACTGAGATTTAAAAACTACTTTTCCTGAATGAGAGCATCTATGTAAGCAGACTGCAGCAGGCTGTCATTTAGCCAGCCCTGTGTGCTGTGTGTAGTGTTTTCACGTCTGCCCTCTCGCCCGGTACCTCTTCTTAAAATTTTAATTATTTTGGGGGGTACTGGAGATTGAATCCATGGGTGCACTACCACTAAGCAACATCCCCAGTTCTTTTTATCTACAGACAGGGTCTCCTGAAATTGCCCAGGTGGCACTTCAATATGCGATCCTCCTGCCTCAGCCTCCCTCAGTACTGGGATTATAGACATACACCACCATGGCCTGATTCCCCATACCTCTTCCTGGCCCTGCAGGATGACAGAGCAGACACTTAGCTGAGCACGTGGTGTGGCCACAGGCGTACAGCTGTGCGTTCCTAATCAAGAAGCCATCCCTCACCACTGTTGCGAAGTTTGTCTAATCAGTACTCTTAACATGTCAAATTGAGAAAAGAGATAATTTGAATAACTCATTTAAAAATGAATTAAGAAAAAGCATCTTTTTGTAATGTGTATAGACTTCCACACTGATGAAATTTGCCCAATAATTGCTCAGTTTTCTTTTTTTTTTTGAGACTGGGAAGGTCTTGCTGTGTAGATCAGGCTGGCCTTGAACTTACTATGGAACCCAGGCCCCTGGCAATCTTCCTGCTTCAGCCTCCCGAGTGCTGGGATGACAACCATGCACCATCATGCCTGGCTTCTATCTTTTTTGTGGGTGTGATTTTTGTCACTAATTCCTGGCTAGTCTCTGTGGCTTTGGAATTTTAAATTGGAAGGAACTAAATTATTTTTAAGGGACCTAATTAAAGAGCATTTTAATTCAAAACATCAACCTCCTGGGGTGGTATATATATGAACAAGAATATATTTGTGTGTATGTGCATACGTATTCTACGTATATTTGCATGGCGGCAGGTGTGATTTGAGGACCTATATATGCAGTTTATATATTTGGGGGTGCAGGCTCCTGTTTTCCTTGTAAGCTGGGGTTACTGAGGCGTGAGTGGGGGCAGCGCCTTTACTGCCATCCAACCCCACACCCGCTACTGTCCCTCCCTCCCCCCAGCCCTTGATCCTCCTGACTCAGGAGACGGCCTCCGAGACCACCTGGGACACCTCAGCAAAGACCCGGAGAGCTGATTTCAATATTTTCTCGCCTCCTGGTAAAATATTTATTGAAACTGTGCAGAGCGAGACGTCTTCCCCTGGTCCAGAAATTGTTTGCCTGTAAATACGCTGACCCGGGCTGGGGAGCTGCGTGAGACCGGAGCAAAGAAATGCGCAGCCACTGCCCGTGTGTGAGCCGAGGCCCCAGTGAGGGGATCCCAGGGGCAGGAGGAAGGCAGGGGGAGGCTGGCCTCCAGAGGACATGAAAATGATGACCAGACAGGGTTTTGGCTCTTTGGGCGGGGGACCTGTTTCTACCAGTTAATGTCTTTATGGCTATGTTCTTCAGGAGGACAAAAATCTTATCTCTGCAAAGGGAGACTCGGTGGTGACTGCTAAGAGCAAGAGAGCAGGACGGAGACCTGGAGCTGATCCTCCATGCCCTCCCTGAGGCCCATGGGGTGGGTCAGCCTGGGGAGCAGAAGGTGGGGGAGACTGGAGAGTCCGCACTCACTGTTGACAAGCCCGTACTTCTGGGCCAGCAGGGCGGCCTGCAGGCTCTTGCCGCTGCCCATGGGCCCGCACAGCAGCACCCTCGGGGTGAACGGGGCATTGGAGCGATGGCTGGTCTGCACGTAGGTCAGAGCTGGAGAGGGGACAGGACGACAGTGAAGGCAGGTCCTAAAGGAAAGGGAGCCAGCGCCCAGCACTGCTGCTTTGGCTCTGTTCAGGGCTGTGAGCATTTCTCTGTGCCTCTCATGGTGGCCCAGGAGAAGCAGAGGCATGAGCTATGTGTCAGGCCTGGGCACCAAGGTGGCCAGGGAGCGGTGAGACCCCAGACACCGCCCTCTGAGCCACCCCGGGGTTCTCGGCAGCACAGCGGTTTCTAGACTGCATTGGGGCCAAGCCTCTGACCAAAGCCCTGGCCCAGGCTGTCTGTGAAGGGAGGTACATGCTGGCTTCCTGCAGGACGCGCCCGAGGGTCAGACACAGGCTTTGATAAGCGCCTCCGGCTGCGTGGGGCCGAGGTGCAGGGGCTAAAGGACCAGGGACTCGGTGGACAATAATTGTGCAGCCACACTTCAGTGATGCCAACTTTGTGTGAGTCTCTGAAGAGGGCAATGAGAGGTCACGGAGCAGGCAGATGCTGCCGCGCAGCCCTGGCCTGCCGTGCACCCTGGCATTTCATGAACAAAGTGGTGGGGAGGCAGGGTGACTGTCTCCAGCCACCAGGAGACCCTGCACCGAGGGAGGCGTCCGATGCCAAGAAGTCACAGGGCAAAGCTACTGAACATCAAACGGGCCACGTCCCTCACAAGCAGAGAAGAGGGGAGCGGGAGGACAGGCCAAGGGCACTCTAAAAGGGCAGCCTTTCGGGCACCTGCGCAGGGGAGTTGGCCTTCAAAATAGGGCTCCCTCCCCCCAGCCTCCTGCCTGCCAAAGCCCCACCCCGTCTGCCATTGCAAATGTCCCTCCTGGGATTCTGTCCTGGGTGGGCGAAGGGATATGATCCCCAGGACCCAACCAAGGGGTCTGATTTGGGGTTTCTCAACCTTGGCACTACAGGCATTTGGGGCCCAGCAGCTCCTGGTTGTGGGTGCATCCTGTACATTGGAAGGATGGTAAGTGGTACCCCTGGCCTCCTTTAACGAGGTGCCAGTAGCACAACCCCGAGTTCTGACAACCAAAAAGTGTGTGCAGGCATTTCCACATGTCTCCCCTTGCAGGTGGAGGAGGCAAAATTGTCCCCAGTTGAGAGCTGCTGGGACATGTTCCTTGTGCACACCTGGAGCTCTGGAATCTGTCGGGTTGTGCTGCTAATTGGGTAGATTACTGGAGATAGATACTGCAATTCCTTCTTTTCTAGACTAGCAGCACAGGTGAGATAAGGGGACTGTCTTCAAGGCTGTGGTAACCACTAAGATCATTGCCGTAGCTACTGTGTATTAACTGCGAAGCCAATAACCCCATGTTACTGACCCACAGTCCCACGACGGAGGTTTAATTCCTGCTCAGAGACTGGGTGGGTTTGGGGCCCCAAGCGAGGTGCCCAGCAAGGCTCTTGACTCTCAGGAAAGCAGACACTGAGGGCAAGGCGGCCTGCTTACAAATGATGCTTAATTTACAGTAAATAACTAAGTTAATTAGAAGTAATGATCCCCTAGACGATCTCCACATCTAATCATTCTTTTTAGAAATATGTGGTTGCTGGATGCTCTGCAGAGAGATTAAAAAAAGAACACAGAGAGAATTTTGCATTCCAATTTTCAATCTATCTCTCCGCATTATTAATTAATAATAATTAATATTCAGACACTCACATTTTTATTTACAATTCCGGGCATGAATTCTTTATGCATGATCATATGAACTTTTAAATTTAATTAAGTAACTTGGAAGTAATTAATGTGTAAATTCAGAATCATGACATAAGATAAATGTGGCCCATGTTTCTCTTAAGAGCGCAGCATTTGCTACCAAAGACCCTTCCGAGATGCAAAAGCACTGGAACACTGGGAGCCAAGCCGGGCCTGGCAGTTTCTAGTCGTTTTCCAGACACCCACCCACCCGCTGGGTGGTGGCTGAGCACCACACCCAAGGGCACTCTGCAAGCCTGCAGCAGGAGACTGAGGCGGAGGGGGTCACAGAGAAGGAAGCACGTGGGGGTCTCGCTTCGCCTCCCCTCCAAAATTTGAGAGAATATATGAGAAAAGGCCTTTGCAGGCCATCAAGCATGGTGGGATTTTATTCTGTCAAAACAAACTGCTTCATTTACGTAGTATCCATGGGGCCATAACTAGACTTTGAGAAGCAAGACTTAAAAATGATAGTACAGCTACTTCGGGACACGGTTATTCCGAGTCCCCGTGGCTAGCGAGGACAGGATGTTTAGGGATGATAATGCAGCAATGGGACCCGACGTGCATTGAGCCTTCTCAGTCCCCACGGGGCTCCTGGCAGGGACCCATGAGGGGGACATGCTCACTTCACCCTCTTGGTGCTGGAGGAAGGCACAGGCTTTGTTCTGACTTCAGGGATGACAAAATGGAGGCTCGAGGGGTGGAGAGAGGTGCCAAGGACAGCACAGGCAAGAGCCCGGGGCCGAGACTGCGGCAACTTCCAGGCTGCAGCCTCTCCTGCCCACACCACACGAGTCGTCACTGTAGACGCCAGTGCAGCCCTGAGCCTGGGGCTGCTTCTCCCTGCTCTAAATGGATTCACGCGGTGGTTTGTTGTTTTCAATCTTTATTCATTTCCCCTTCCTTCTCCTTCAAGGTCAGGCCTAAACTTCTGGCTGTGGGGCCCTCCTGCCCCATCCTCACCGCCCCAGCCGGCTGCACTGTGAAATCCTTGGTGGGCTGGAGACGTGGCCATGCCTGGGTGCAGGGCATCAGCCTGGTCCCAAGGCTTCTGTGCAAGAAGCCTATGCCTGGGCCCCTGGTGCCCGGCACACCCGGCTGCCGCCACCCTGGGTGTTGCTGGGCGGGGAGGGTGATGGCCCTGGATGGGGCTGGGGCGGTGCTGCCCAGTGGTCGTACTTACCCTGGTAGAAGACGTCCACACAGGGCTGGTCGGCGCTGATGGCTTTCAGGATTCTGGGGTAGGAGGGAAGGATCCTGATGATGCTCCTGTGGTATTCCAGCAGTTTCCGAGCTGTCTCCACCTCCGAGATGCCCTCAGGCTCCAGCAGCCGGTTCTGGACTTCGGCCTCGCGTGGCCAGTCAAAGGTGGTATGATAGATCTCTGCAGAGAGGGGCACCGTTCGCCACCGCCCAGGGCCGCCACCACAACTGCAAGCTGGGGGGGGGGGCAGAGCCAGGGAGCCGCCGCTCGGGTGCACAGTTTCCCTGGGAAGAGGGTGGCTCACACCGGATCCCATGCACAGCCCAGAGCCAGGGGCTGAGCACAGCAGAGTGAGCTCACAGCCCGCTGTCTGCAGCACCGCCAGGCTCACACCCGGCTCTGAAGAGCACAAGCCACCTCCCTGCAGCTGCCTCACTCGCTTCCCAGCGTCCTCCAGCCCAGAGCCCAGCTCTGGCATTTGAACCTGAGCCTCCCTGTGCAGCCTCTCTGTGCTCTTGGTGGATGCTCAGTGAAGGGTAGGGGCCTCCTGCTCCAGAAAGCCCCCGGGATGTGGGGTGCGGGGTGTGGGGAGCCCGTACCTCTGGTTACAGGGTCAATCCTCTTCCCCAGATTTCGCTCGATCAGGACCGAGTCTGGAGCATTCAGCACGACTGGGCAGAGGGAGAGGCCGGATCAGGCGTTGGGTGGACGGTGAGCTCCACAACTCTGCACCTCATGGATGCTCACTATCCATTGCCACTAGGACCACCACCTCCCCAGCCTGGAACTCTCAGAGGAAAGGCCCTCTCGGCCACACAAGGCGTGTTCTCCAGGGACCAGATCAGCCCTCGCCCCAACCGGGTGGCTCCCCACTGATGATGAGCACCCTCGGGCCTGTGCTTCCGCCATGCTTCCCAGCACTTCCTGCCAAGGGTCTCTCAGACATGGGCTCCTGGGACAAGGAACCCCTGGGGTGAAAACAGAACCCCACTCTTCTTAAAGATCAGCCCTGAATAAGCCAGCTCTGTGACAGGGGGTGAATTTAACTGAACACGTCTGGGTCACAGGTGGCTGGGAGCTGGGGAGAGGGGCTGGGAGTCGGGGGTGGGGGGGGCTCCCATCACGGGGTACTCACTGACGTGCCGGGGGGCGAGCCCCAGCGTCTGCATCATCAGCACCTGCTCCCGAGTCTGAGGAATGCCATCCAGGATCCAGCCCTAGGCAGAGGGTTGGGAGAGTGTTGCCTCAGCCTTTATTTTAGATTTTCGGAATTTAAAAGGAAAACAACAACCTTAGAGGAGGACTGGATTCTTTTTTCTTCACATAGGGTCTCACCATGTTGCCGAGCCTTGTCTGGAATCCTGGGCTCAATCAGTCCTCCTGCCTCAGCCTACTGAGTAGCTGGGACTACAGGTGCACACCCAGGCCCGGCTTGGATTTTTTTGACAGAAGAAAATAAATGTTTCTGATAGTCACATGATTCCTCCTTAACAGCTACTCTCATTGTTGTAGTCCTTTCCTATTCTGTTCATGATAATAATCCTGACACTTTCCGGGTCTTTATCAGCACGTGTTTGCAGTACATGGTTACACTCCCCGTGGGGAGTCGGCACACGTCCACGACACATCTTAATTCTTTGCTTAGGCTCTTCCCCAGCCCTCCCTCCGTCTGTTGGTCCCCTTCCCTTTTGCTATTGTCTATCTACCAGTTTGCTCTTTATTTACACTTTGGGTTCCTCATATAAGAGAAACCATGGGCTACTTAAGCTCGTGTGTCTGATTTTCTTTCACTCAGTATTATGTCTCAAGGTGCACCCATTTCCTACAAATAACTCAAGTTTATCCTTCTTTATAGCAGAGTAATACTCCATTGTGCATAAATACCACATTTTCTTTATCCATACATTTCATGTCCTGATTTTTTCCACAACAGACCATAGCTACCACAGACTTTTTTATCCCCATGCTGGCCTGGCTCTTAATTGCCTCCATTGTCAATGGCTTAGATTCCACCAAGCAAGCATCCGAAGTTCAATCTTGTGATTGCAAACAATTCCCACTATTTAAATAACACTGTGATGAACATCTTTGTGCATATAGCTCTTTCCACATTTTGCATTCTCTCCTAAAGAGAGTTTCTGAGATACGGGATTTTTAAGGCACAACATCAACAGGATCAAAACAAAACCTCACTTTTTAAAAAGAACAAACCGGGCTGGGGATTTAGCTCAGTGGTTTCACTGCCTGCTGAGCAAACATAAGGACCCAAGTTTGATCCCCGGTACCAAAAAAAAAAAAAAGAAAGAAATAACCCCTTAAAAAGAAGAAACCCAAAGTGGTATCTCAGGAGACTTTGTTCAGACATTAGTCTCTTTTCAGTACAGCTAGGGCATTGGTATAGGCGGTTCGTTTCTATTAATTCTTTAAGTCTAACTGGGAAAGGAATACATGATTATTGTATACTGCATGGAAAATGCAGAAATTCTAATGCAGGTCCCTGAGGAACACTGAAGACCCTAGCAAGCCTCTGTGAGTGAACACCTTGGCTGATTTCCTCCCAGGTATCACACACACATATTTTTTCCTGGGGGTGAGAAGGTAAAGAACCACACACACTCCTTTGCAATCTGTCATCTTCACAGAGCAAAAACATTTTGTGAACGTTTTCCAGGGCACAAAATGCTCATCCTTGGAAGTTTTCATAGCTGTCTGGTATTGCATGAACTGATCTACCAGACCTTAACTGATTCTGTATTGCTGCCCATTTGGTTTGATTCCAGTTTTTCATCATTATTTTAAAATGCCAACATAGATCTTCAAGCATATCAAATATCCTCAAGATACATTTCTAAAAGTTGGCACTTCCTGTTGTGGCTTTTTATACATCTTGCCAAACTGCTCTACAAAACCGCCTGGCCAGTTTATAAGTCCAGTGGCACAGCGCCTATTTCCCTGTGTCTTTGCTAATGTTGGGCATTTGCTTGGGGAAAATCTTTCCAGAAAAAACACAATATACTGTTGCTTCTTTCATTTACATTTCTTTGATCATTGGAACATTTTTTTCCGTATGTTTATTGACTATTTGAATTTTGTTTCTCTTCCAAGATATCTATCCATCCCACCTATCCACATTCCCTTTGGGATGTCATCCTTTTGGTTATTTATAAGAGCTCTTTACATACTGAGAGTATTAAGCCATTTTGGCAAACACTGCCGGATCATCAGACTCAAACAATGTTGCCAACGTTTCCGTCTGTCTATGGCCTTTGAATTTTGTGCAGCGTGTTGTCTTTAACACCCTGGCTTTTGGCTAAGTTAATCACTGCTTTTCTTTCTGGATTCTGTCACTGTGTGGATTTATAAAAAGGTTTTTCCTACTATAAAAGCGGATACATATTCACTTCCATTTAAGCTGTGTTCTCTTCTAAGTTTACTCTTTACACTGAAATATTTAGTAGAGCCACGTTTTCTTTCCTAAATGACATGAAGCTGCGGCCCCATTTGTTTCATTGCAGCTGGAGCTACCTCGCCCTGTTCTGTGATAGCCTCTCCTTGTCCGAGATTCCTTTCGTCATAGTGTGATGCTCATCTGTCTGCTTGTAGATCACTGAGCTGCTTTAACCTTTTAAATTATTGCTGCTTTATAATTGATGGTTACATTGAATATGTCCTTCCTTCTGTTTTTTAAATTATGCTTCCAGGTAAGCATCAAAAAATAGTTTGTCAAGCTTTAAAACAGAAATTCTAGGAGGATTTTAGGATGACGTTAAATGTGTAGATTAATTCATGAAGAACTGACGTTTTAACTGCGTTGAGTCGACGCATTAGCTTCTCATTTGCTTATGTTGTCTTCTTATGTCCCTCAGCCGTGTTCACATTAAACAATTTCTAAAGGCTTTTCAAGTCCCATGAAGCTAGAGGTAGACACACACGTGTGCATACACATACACACTGTTCAATGCTTTGGACCCGGTATCGAGATAAATCCGAAAGGTGAGCTTTGCAAGAGCAAAATAAAGCAGCCATTGCTTCACGTCTCCATTTTGGAGTGAAGAGAGCCAGACAACCAGAGGCTGGTGCTGAGGCTGCTGATGCTGGGTCCCCAAAAGAAGCCCCCTTGTCAGAGACCTCTCTCTCTCTCTCTCTCTCTGTCTCTCTCAGCATCAGGAGAATGGGGGTGCTCTGAGGTCAGAGGATGAACTCATGTGGGCGAACTCAGACCCCTTCACCCTCAACCCCCCCCCCACCCCCGATTTACAGGGCACGGTGTAAGTGTAGACAAGAGACAGCTTTCATTAAAAACAAAAAAGTACCCGTATTTCTTCAATATTAAATTATTCAAGTTCCAACAGCCTCCATGGACAGTCAAAAAAAAAAAAAAAAAAAGAAGCTAAACAAATGTACAGCTTAAAGAATTGGAAACATCAGGCATGATCAGGCAAGGTTTTATTAATTTCTTAAATTATACAGGAAAACACAGCCACGAGCCCCTGGTTTCTGGAACTAATGAAGTGAAAGTGTAAAAAAAATGTTTTGAACAGTCTTTTGCTCCCTCAAGTCCTTGTTACAGCCAGGCAAGCGTGGGGCTGTGGCTCTTGGAAAGAGCAGAACCCACAGATGTGAGCAACTCCCCAGGAACTGGAGATGCCGGCTGCACAGGACTCCCCCCTCACTGGCACTTGTGGGAGCCCAACTCACATTTTCTGAACTTTAGCTAAATCCAGATCCCCTGACTTTCTCCCCACTTGGAGGGGAGAGGAATCATGAGCCCCTTGATTGCTTCTTCTACTACCAGGGCTGGTAATTCTGCTTCGAGTCACTTTTTGAAACTGGAAGGCAGTTGGAACCCTGCCTTCGCTTAACACTCAGAAAGACCTCCACTTTTAATATTGCATTGCTGAGCAATCATCATTAATCTCGCTCATAAATTTGCAGCGGATTATCAGTATGTGGTCCAAAGCTTTTAGAACTATTCAGGGAAACAGCTCTCGCTGGCTTCTCACCGAAGAAAGCGGGACTTCCAATTACCTAGAAAAGTGCAGCAAAATGAGGAACATCTCCCTGATTAGCCTGGCCTCACCAGTGTCATTCTGGGCAGATGGGAGATTTTAGGAAGCAGGTGGGGGCTCTGATGTGAACTGCAGGCCACCAGCTCCTCGGGTCTGCCTCTGAGATTCAAGGGGAAGGGACAGTGGCCGAGTGCTGAGGAATGAGGCCCCTGTGGGTCCCTGGGGAAGGCACCCAAGGAGACTCCTCATCCTTGTGCCAGCCCACGAGGGCCCAACACAGGTCCCCCTGGGACAGACAGCGCCTTCACGGGGCCACCGGTACGAGGACGCATCAGTCCTGGAGCAATCTCAGGATGGAAGCCCTGAAAGGATCATCTTTCCTGGAATTTCTGCATTGAGAGAGGTTATTTGCCCAAGAGTGACTGCATTTTTAAGGGGAAACAACAATTTTGGCGGATATTTGGCCGCACATTCTGCTCAAGCACGAAGTCATCAGTCACTAAATGCTAGGATCCAAGGACGCCATGAAGGGACACTGAGCCATGTGTGCCAACCCTGCATCACTAGGTCTGTGAGTCCGACACCCAGGAGTGGCTGGGCGAGGAGGTATCTCAGCACCTAATTAGAATACATTATCCATCTTCCCGACACTTCAGTGAAATGTCTATTTCACTCTGGAGCTGCAGCTTTGTTCCGAGCAGGTTAATTGATATTCTGATGCCTTCGCTCGCCATACCCCCGTGGCTTGGTTCTGTTTTATCACACATCAAAAAGGCCGTATGCTCAGGGCACTCCATGCACCAGCGCAGAGCCGGAGGTCTGCACAGCTGCAAGGGGTATGGTATCACAGGAGGGACAAGCACCGAGCAGATGTCACGGATGAAAAAAAAAAAGGAAGCAAAGAAGCCAGCCAGCCCAGGGAGCCTGGCGCGGCCCAGCGGAGCTCGGCCTGATGCGGCACAGCCTTTCCGGCTTTGTGCGAACACTGCCCCCTCCGTCCTCCTGACTATTACGAAAGTGCAATTAGCAACTGCGCCTGGGAAGTCTCCGCAGCCCTCTGGGTTGCTGCCTTTTTGATGTGCTGCCCTGGCTCGCCTCTCCTCTCCTCCAAACGCCAGTGTGGGTGCCCCCCTGGGGCTCCCCCGGCTCCGCCCCTGATCCTGACAGGTTCCAGCGGAGGCCTTCCTGGAGCTGTGTGCCAATTCCTT